TCAGCACTTCCATCCTATACAAGGTACAAATACTTGGATCTAACAGACACGGGAAAATCAAATGTCACGTGTTGCCAATAAAATAGGATAAGCACAAGAAATTGAAAAAATAAAATAGAAAGTATTATGCATAAAGTAAAAGACAAAATGCCTTGCCTTTTACTGAAATAGATTCCCTAACAACAGTGTACCCTTCAGGCCAGATTATCCCATCATCTTGGAAATATTCCGAGTCCTTGACAATTTTTCCTGTAACAATAGTCCCACAATCTATGAGTAATAATTAAACTTTCAATCTTTTAGAAAACGGTACTTGATAATCGGAAGTAAATCAAATCACCAGAAACTTCAACCCAGCTACATATCATTCTAACTGGACTGGCACTAACTCTAGAAAGAGTTTGGCCATCAGCAATTTACTAACTACTTCCACTAGCATAATTTCCAGCTTACCTCTGAAGCACACATACACCAAGCATCTGCTTTAACAGTACTTGACAATTTGCCAAAAGAAAAATCAAAATCCAAGAGGCAAAAGAGAATTGAAAAGTTGTGAATAGCCAAATATGCCTAACCATCTATGCATCAGATGCAAAATTGTATGACATCTCAACTTATACAAATAAAGCAATTCAAGGCCACCAGAAATTACCGAGGCTAATTATTTGCAAGTCTCCTATAACATAAGAAGAACCTCTAGGTCCACTAAGAGTTATCTGAATCCCCTGATTTTTTTTCATGTGATCTTCAATGGAATCTATATTTTCTTTATCTTCACAACTTGCATCACCTTCATCCTCGGTCCTTCCATTTTGTAGTTGTAACATTCTTCTTGGAAGCTTCTGTTCACACAAATAGCTGTTTGGAACAAAAGATAGAAGCACATGACTGTTAACTCTTGCACAAAATTGCAAGAGTGTAAAAAAACATGGTATTATACGTATCATTGTCATAGTTAAGGGAACTGTACAACTACAAAGACAGGAGGAGTTACATCAAAGAAGAATACAAAATTGATTCGGTAGCACCAAACTTAAGTAATACCAAAAGCATAAATGCCCATAAATCATTTAAACAAGATGTAATCACCTAAGAAAGTTGGAGAATAACAAATAGGTTAACAATCCCCACGGCTACATGCAAAAGCATAAAAGTCAAGAATGGGAAGCAAGGATGAGTAAGAGGCATATTGAATAACCTCAGAAGAACATTGTTTTCAATTCATTCACAATGTTAGTCCGAACTATGCTTTACATCGAAACAATTGATAGACATGTGTATTCCATTGGAATAAGAACGATGGATATATGCGAAGAGGGAAAACTTTCTTTATCACATTATTTTTCATAACTTGAACTAAATGAACCTTAGCAACTAAAAATAACTTACAATTTTGCTTCCTCCAAACCCATAGTAAAACGAGGTTTCTTGCACTTCCGGTGAAGTGATGAGAGAAGCCCTTTGAGAAAAGAGACCACCTGTTTCAATTTTATTCTGACAATTACAAAAGGAACTGATGAAATCAGCCCTCAAGATATAGAAGTCTAGCATCCATGTAAAACAAGAACCTTATTTCTCACAACATTAAAATACACACCTTGCAAAATCATGGGTGCCAAAAAATTGAACTGGAACTGATCTTCCACCAGAAATCTTACTCAAACCTTTACGATCACCAATAAGTGATTCATCTACCACAATTGCTGGCCACATTGCATGACCTGCAGCAATAACTCAAAAGATAATCTCATTGAAATATACATAAATATTGATAACTTACTTGAAAGAAAAATCATTCATCATTAAATGCATCAAGATATATTTATAGCACTAGACCCCGGAGACATACAAAGAGCACTTGTCAAATTCTGATAAACCTTGCAAGACCATTGTAGAAAAATTGAACAATTATTATTCTTCAACAAATGCAAAAGCTTCAACAACAAATGATAAAATTCATAGGTACACACAAAATCAACTTCTAAGAAAAACTATGTAACCATCAGAGACTAAGAAGGAAGGAGTCCTCAAAAATATTTCCCAACTTCCAGGTTCATCTCAAACAAATTACTCCAAAGTGTATCATAGCCAATAATCAATGACAGATTGACAACCCTTGACATATCATGTCATGACAGTAAAACACTTTCTATAGTAAGTTGTAATTGTCTCCGATTAACATAATAGGAATCAGATGAATTTAGTACAAACCAGTAAGTTTTGCCCATATAACATCCCCAGGTTCAAGTTCTTGACAATCATCTTGACTGGCAGCCAATGCAACCATCTCATCATAGTCATAGCAACCATTGTTTGTACTATCAACATTGAATCTCAGGTTCAGGCGCTCCATCTCTTCATGAGAAACATGAAACTTCAGTTTCTCATTAGAAAGCATCAAATCCTCCGTATCTCCATCTTCATATTCAACCTGCATTTGAACTTTTCAAATAATGAAGAAACCAGCCCATGAAATAAAGTATATTTTTACACTATTAAATGCCAAAACAATTTCTATAATCATAGAGTAAAATAGTATATATATATATATACACACAATGGCCATACATGATGTCTGTTAGTCTCCGAATTGTACCCAACAACTCGACCTGAATACCAATCAGCATCCAATGGCCAAAAAACCTGTAATCAAAAAAGATTTGAGTCAAGATGTATGAAAGTTCAATGTCTAGAAGTAGCAACTTCAAAGAGCCATTAAAATGCTTTCCTTGCATTGCAATCCAACGAATGCTTTTGGATCAACACCGTCAAAACTCAACCTAATCAATTTACAACATTTTCCAGTTAATATAACCAAAATATATAGACAATAATCTGTAGTTAAAAATGAGAAAGGAGGAAAATTCAAACAAACGCCTTCTGCATCAAGATTGCAGCCATTTAAACCCAATTTACCAAGACTCCTTTCAGCTATTTACTTTGACTTCAAATCCAGAAAATAATTTCATAAAGCAAAATCGATTGATTATAGATAAACCCCACACACATAGAAACCACGCCAATTCCAAACAAATTTCATACATATGTTTGCATTGCACCCCAAATGCCTTTTTTATATCTCCTATAGAAACAAGATTCAGTAGCAAATATTTAATCTAAATCAGCAATACATTAAATTAAGCCATCCTCGATATTTACTAAAAGCATATAAAAAACGAAATAAATTTAAAAAAGAACACTGACCTGACCCATCTCTTAGCAGTAGCGGAAACAATGAAACCCCGCAGAGAATTCAGAGTAGAAATATGATTCATTTTCTTAACAGAATTACTTTTCACGTTATTATTAACACTGCCATTATTTCTACAATCCCTCAAACGCGAGCGATCTGGCTGGCACAAAACACTCGGGTCAGCCCCCAAATTGGCCAACTCATTACTCCTAACCCTCCTCTTTTTCCTCAAAGTCTCATCAATTTCACCTTTGGCCACTGTCTTTTCGCCCTCTTCTTGGAGCAAAGGGTCGTAGGAGTCGCATTGGCAAGGGCGTTTATGGCGACGAGAGTAGACGTGCAGGACGGGGGGATTGTGGGGTTTGAGGAGGTGACCGTTGCCGACGATGAGTTTACGAGCTTTGATCTTCTTGGACATGACGTTGGATGAGTTAGTGGCGCTCACGCATAGAGAAGCGGCGGAGTAGACGCGGTCCAAGGAAACGTAGCGAATCGGAGTCTCGGCTTCTTCCTCGTCTCCTTTCTTGGGAAATGCCATGGATGGAAGGAGCTGTTGAGAGTTGGAAATGAGGGGTTCGGGGGGCAGAGGAAGAAGAATCAGAGCTTTTAGGGTTTTAAATGGGGATTTGGGGAATTTGGAGGGAGAAAAAATACTGGCTTCCTTTTTTCTATATTTGTTTGGCCCCAAAATTCTCGCTTTCCCGCCGAGCAAGTACAAGGCCAAGGGCACCTCTTCTATGTGTGAAATAATATGCAGAGTAAAAATATAAGGGTAAAGTACCTATATAGTCCCCCAACTATAGGGAACTTCTTTTACATCCTCTAACTCTGAAACATTACAACATAATCACCCCAATTAACCAAACTGATGTCACGGTTAATAAATTGAATAATAGTAATTGTAGTTTTTAAATTTTACACTTTATTTTACTTTAATCCTAATTTTAAACATTAACCTACAAAATTTCAATATTCTATCAATTTTTTAAAATTTCTTTTATCATTTTTTTGTAATTTTATCTCCATTTCTTATTGTTAGCTATGAAATCCCATTTGGTTTTGATCTGTTGTTCATTAAATTCAAAATCATGGTGAAAGCATATGGATTTCCCTTAAAAAATGGAATTTCTTTTTTCGTGAATGAATTAAAATATTTATAAATTTAAAGAAAAAAATTGTAAATTTTGGAACAGAGAAGCGTAAGTGGTCATATCTGGGAAGAGAAACAAAAGAAAATTCAAAGAAATGCTTCAAACCCTAAGAATTTATAAGTTTTGGAGTATGGACTAAAATGGAACAACTTCCAAATTCAGTGAGCAAATTTAGAAGTTGAAATGTTTCGAAAACTTGCTTGATATTCTAGGTAGGGCTATAAACGAGTAAAGTCCAGTTTGAGTATTGTGAAACTCGACTCAACTTAAAAAGTTTAAAGTTGAATTCGACCATAACAAGTTGAACTCAAAACATTCTCAATACTTATATTGCATTTAAAAAAACAACACATAAATGTTAATATTATTAATAATTTAATTTCAAAATTTTAAAAACTTAATATATTATCTTTTCAAGATATTCGATAGTTTTTCGAGTCCTATATCAAATAGCTCGTTTCGGCTCATTAAGAACACGAATCGAGTTCGAGCTCGAATTGAGTGTTGGTCGAACTTTCGACTAAATCAAACTCGAATAACTCGTAATTTGTGTCATATCATTCACAATCCTAATCATATTTAGGGCCCTAATACTCTACAATATCAATTGCACATAGAATGTTTCAAAACAGAGAGATACTAACAGCACTTCACAGCTACAATTACAAATGCCCCATAACATCTGTGCAAAGGCAGGCAATGTTTAGTACAATCCCAAAACGTGTCCAAAAAATGAGTGATGCAACTCTACCAAATTGTTCATTTCTCAATCTGTAACCTATTCTTTATACGGCATTCCGATCGTCCAAGGGCCGGCTGAACTCAGTTTCTGGTATCTAGGAAATTATTACTCATTCCCTAAAGCATTTTATGTGAATTTCTAGAGCTAGTGAAATAGTATCATTCCCCCTATCCCTATATATATGTAACATCAGAAAAAAGGCTTTTGCCTCATCCATTTTGTTGCAGACCATTTCTCTCCAGATAAAACTTCACATCCGCCGTGTATGCTATTTGGATCCGACTGTCCGTCTAGCCCCTAAAAGAAGCAAGCAATACAAACAACAAAGATAACAAAATCAGCTAAATCCTTCTAAATCTGGGCAGTACGTAAGAACGATACCTTTAGAGCTGAAACCAAATATATATATTAACACAATTCTCAATTCAATCTCAGAATGGCTAAGTTTATTGATAACATATTGAGACAAGATAGCGTTAAGTGTCGAGAAGTTAAACTGAAAAACATGAAACCTCAAGTGATATACTGTAAATTACTGATAGATCACAAGTTCAGGCACCACAGGTTTTACAATTAGCCAAATAGTAGATGAGCAAAGAAAAGTTCAATGCATACAGGCAGCAAACAGACATTTTGAATTTAGAAATAAGAGTAGGGAAAGGAACCATGCTCCAGAAAAGCACTGCATCTCCTTTGATTGGTTTTACAGACATCCCCTTCACAGTCTTCCCGCCACAGTTACAATCACCCGTACCAGCCTGAGATTTTAAATAACATGTTTGATAAACCAATGCAATGAAAGGTATTTTTGAAGAGAAGTTGACAAAGAAAAACAATCTACAGAACTTTAACAAAGAGGATTGAATTCAAGATCATACTAAATATTGGGTACAAGCAATTATAGACAATGAGAAATCATATGCAAGGCAAAGTATAAGGTTCGATTTATAAAATGGGCAAGCATCTTGAAGAAAATCCAAAGAGAATTGAAGTAGCTAAAGAGAAGAAACATATGAAAGACTAAATGATACACCTCTCTGGTAAGATTAACATCTAAATATTACAAGTTGAGAGATTAAATATGAGCTGCCACTAGAGAATCACCAGAGAAGTCGGGCAAATTTAATACTCGTCTCCGTTATTTTCAAAATGATCCATTAGCCAAATCAGATTAGAGTGTAATCAAACTGAAAAAGCATGTCGTCCAGTTGCAGTGTAAAATAGATTGTTTCAAATGTCGATATTTCTTTTCATTCATTATTCTAGACCCTACTTCCTCATTACTTGCCCAATCACTTTCCGTAAAGAGAACATTCTTCAATCAATAATATTAAAAGATGAGTGCGTGATAAAACCTTTTCATATGGAGTAATAGATTATAGTTGGAAGAAAAACCAATATTGTGCGGAGACAAGGAAAGAAATGAAGAATGACAGTCAGTTTGAATCCGGTCTTGTCACTGCACTATTACATCTTCATAATTGTCCAACTCCATGCCTTCCTCTGGAAAAACTGGGTTCTGTTTTTCTTTCATTGCTTTCGAGTAACTCATCCTCACTTCCAAAAACCATTTTTTCCATCATACACTAATTAAAACCCTAATTCTCATCCATCAAAGCTAATAAACTTTATTTGTAACTTTAAAACTTAAAAATCCCAGTTTCCAATGCTTACCCTTGACACCCATAGACAGATTTCAGAAACTTCTGTGCCAAATGCATCTACCAAATCATTTATGCAAGTCAAGAGAAGTGCCAAATGCATCTACCATATGTCATTTTACATGCAGTACAAGCACCATCTACTTAATATGATTAATCAAGCATCGACTTTTTTTCTTCTTTTTCTAAATAAAAAAAAAATTAGTTACCATAGGGAAATATGTTTCTCCCCCTTCAACACCATCACTTAGATACATCAGCATAGTTGCTATTCTTTGACCACCGCGCTTCAAGTTAAACTGCAATAAATAATGGTTGCAAAGAAATAGATCAAGATATCTCCATATAATAAGAACGGACATATCTGATAACCAATAAATTCACCATGTCAACTTAGGGAAAGGCGGATAACTTACAGTATCAGAAAAGTAATCATGGTGGGGCTTGTAAAACTGATCCTTTTCATACCTGTGCTGCACTAAATGTTAGCCTTGATAAAGAACATATTAGGTCTTTTTCTTTTGATAAATATTAAACAGATATTAAGGTCAGACACCCACCTTAAAACTTGGATAAGCTCCCCATTTTCAGCTGGTATTTGAGAAAAGATAGAAATCCGCTTTTCAATTGCCTTGAGTTCAAAGAAAAAGAAATGGAGGGAAGAAGCACTCAGTTCCTCTGGGTAAATGAAAACAATTGCAATGCTAGAACGGAAACATAATGCAGAAGAAAATTCATCCCAAGCTGCTTTAAACAGAAGAGCATCAGCGAGCAGTTTTAGAAATTATCCCTTAGCCCATCAAAGGAATTTGCAGAGCTAAGTAACAAGGAAATCATATAAGCCATGGCGGGGGATGTAGTGAACAATTAAGTCAAATAACCAGGGTATGCTCTCTCTACTAATTACCAGTCTGGTGGGCACAGGGTTTTAGACTTTAGATTAATGTGATCAGTTCATGGCATGTATCAGAAGTTGGTTTCTCCGCTATGGTCTCTCCTACAGGTGAGATTAGTCATGATGTCATTTTCATTAAATATGCAATTCTAGCAACACCTTCCTTCGACATTCCCATCAAACCAGCTATAATATGTATATGTATTGTTTTTTTTTTTTTTTTGATAGAAATTGGATAGGCCTCGTTAAAAACCCCCTTCTTGACCTCCATGTTACAACAATAACATGAAGGGCATGGGAAGGAGGAAAAGAGTGCCTAAAAATTCATTAATACCAGAATAATACATATCCATCCTAAGAAGTTCTGTTACAACATAAAACTTAAAAACCAAACACAGAACATAAAAACCAGCTCAATAATTGTGCAACCTAGCCAATAATCTAATATTCATCCTATTCCTTCTTTAGCTAGTTTATCCGCTTCACAATTAGCAGCTCTCAAAATATGCCTAACAATTACCCCTCTACTCTCCACTAATGCAGCAATGTCTTTCACCAACGGCTGGAACATAGGAGTACATACACTCGGATTTTTAATCCATTTCAGTGCATTAAGGGAATCTGATTCCAATATGACCCTTGGAAATGAAACCAAAGATTTCTCCTCAATATACATCATCCCTCTTTTTATAGCTAATAGCTCTGAAAGAATAGGAGGACCCCCCCAATCCTTTTGGAAAACGAACCCTGCTACAACCCTTGAGCATCCCTTAATAATCCACCAATGCCTCCTTTATCCCACTCCTTAGACATCGCACCATTAACATTTAATTTAACGTAACCCAAGGGAGGAGCAGTCCAACACGAGGAAGAAATAGAATCCTTCTTCATTCTTACCCCCAAATCAGCTATTTTAATATCACCCACTAGAGAATCAAAATTTATCTGCACATCATTGAATCTCGCGACAAACCATGATGCAATTCTAAAACGAACAAGGAAGAACAATAACGGGCCATCCACCTTTCCTTTCCCAAAAATAATATCATTTCTACACTTCCAAACCGTCTTAAGCACCGCCCTAGGGATGAACTTCCAAATGGTGGATTTCGGGATTAAATCATTCCAAACGATTATGAAATCCAACAAAGTCTGAGGTGGCACAAAAGATACATTCCAAGATGACAAGAATCTATACCACAGGCCGCTGACAACCTCACAACGAACAAATAGGTGAGAAACCGACTCCACACACTTACCACACAAAGGACATAACGAGTCTTCAATCCCTGAAACTCCTCACTTTATCAATTCCTCTCTAACTGCCACTCTCTGATGAGCAGCCTGCCAAACAAAAGTTTCGACTCGAGGAGGAGCAACCCCTGTCCATACAATATTGTCCCAAATACCATCATCTTCCTCATTACCAGCCCAATCAAAATAGCACTTCACACAAGATTTAGCTGAAAAACAACCCTCCCCATTCCCTGTCCAGACCCAACAGTCATCTTGCAAAGATGATAGGGAGGTAGAATTCAACAAGGACATAAGTTGCATCCACTGTTCAACCTCCCAGTCCACCAAATTCCTCCTTAATTTTATGTCCCAGAAGCACCCTGAAGAAGAATTTTCCATGAATTCTACAACTTTGCCCCCTTTATTCAGTGATAGAACAAAGATCCTTGGGAACCTAACTTTTAAAGGGAACGAACCCAACCAAGAATCATGCCAAAATTGCACTGTCTCTCCATTCCCCATCTTCAAACACAAATTCTTCCTTATACAGTCCCCAAAATCATCATTAGAAAAGAAATTATTAATTATTCCTTTCTAAATCCAAGATGCCCGATTAGACAAAGAATTCGTAATTAAGCATGTATTAAAGTCTAAATTATACACGCAACACACAACTTTTTTCCACCACAAATTCTTCTCTGATGCAAATTTCCATACCTATTTACCCAAAAGAGCTCCATTTAGAAGTGCCAAATTCGGAATTCCCAAACCCCCCCACCTCTTCGGCTTGCATACTAACTTCCAATTCAGCCAATGAATATTCCTCTTATCTGCCGAACCGCCCCAAAGGAAGGCTGCCATTATAGAATTCAATCTCTTAACCACACCAATTGGAATTCTAAAAAGGGAGAGAAAATAAGTCGGAAGAGAGCACAAAACTGACTTCACTAAAACTGCCCTACCAGCTAGAGATAAGGAATTAGCCTTCCAACCAGCCAATTTAGAATAAAATCTATGGACTATTGGTTCCCACAATACTGCAGAATTCCTCTTAGATCCCAAGGGTAATCCTAAATATTCTGTTGGAAAAAGTCCCACTGTGCAGCCAATTTCCACTGCCCAACTTGCTAACTCATCCGGATCCACGTTAATACCGAAGATTTTACTCTTAGATAAATTCAATTGCAAACCTGTCATCAATTCAAAAATTAACAGCACCCTTCTGACATTCTTCAAGTCTCGAACAGTAGCCTTGCTAAAGATAATGAGGTCATCCACAAATTGCAAATGTGATAGCATAAACAACCTCTCTTGATTTCCTAACTCAAAGCCCGAAAACAGCCCTATCTCCACTGCTTTAGCCAACATCAAATGAAGAAACTCTCCAACCAAATTAAACAACATTGGAGATAATGAACAGCCTTGTCGGAGACCTCTTGCTGTTTTAAATTTTTCTGTCGGTGACCCATTAACGAGAACTGAAATTGTGGCTGTTGAAACGCATTGATTAATCCACGAAGACCACTTATCCCCAAACCCTATTTTGCACATTATTTTCATCAATATAGCCCAATCCACAGAATCATAAGCTCTTTTAAAATCTACTTTAAATACGACCCCCTTCAACCCCTTTTTCCTCCAATAATCGATACCCTCATTTGCAATAAACGAGCAATCCATAATCTGTCTTCCCGGTATAAACGCAAATTGCGAAGAGCTAATAATTTCATTTATACAAAGGCTTAACCTTCTAGCTAGAACCTTAGAAAGAATTTTATATAATCCTCCAACAAGGCTAATTGGCCTAAAATCTTGTAGCTCCTCCGGATTCACCCTCTTTGGAATGAGAGAGATAAAAGAATGGTTTACCTCCGAGTCCCATACCTTCCCTCGATGAAATTCTCTAAAAAACAGCACCAAGTCTTCTTTCAAATTTCCCCAAAACTTCTTGAAAAACCCTAAATTCAGACCATCTGGGCCTGGTGCTTTATTGTTGTCCGAATGCGCAATTGCTTCCCAAATTTCTTCTTCAGAAAATGTATTTTCAAGAGCCCTGTTTTGATCTAATGAAAGTTTTAAAAACTCCAAATCCAATTCCTCCACAACAAAGGTATCGTTTTGGTTGAACACCCCTTGGAAACAATCCTTCACTGATTAATAGATGCATTGTGCATCAGCAAAATCTAAACGATCAAAACATCTAGGATGGGAATCAAAATCACTCTATTCGCTTCATGGGTTACCCTTATTTGAGAACGGACTGATGATATAGACATTTATGTTAGAGAAAAGTAACCTGAAAGCTAACCTGTACCATTGGATACTTTCTCTCTGTTGGACTAAGGAACATACCAGAGCTCGTCCTGACATTACTCTTAATTCCCTGAAAAACAGCAGTTGCATTGAGATCAATTCTTGCTAAGAAAAATAAGGTCCTAAAAACTAAAAGTTATAGGCCAGATGTAGGGTGTGTGTGTGTGTATATATATATATTGTGATAAAAATTACGATCATAACTGACTTAATTCAGTATCATTACTCAGAACATTAAAAACTTAAAAAACAACAACATAAGAAGTGGACGAGTATTTTTAAAATTTGGGTAATGTACACTTAAATGCATGACGCAGCTAAAGAAGGTAAACCAATTCACCTAATTGCCACACTTAAAGTTTTTTTTTATAGGAATGGAAGTCCTCATTAAAAACCCCCTTCTTGATTAAGGAGCTTGATAATAAGCTCCTTAATCAGCGGAAGGAGGAAAAGAGTGCCTTGAATTTTATTAATAATGAAAAGTAACATAAGATACAACCATTACACCAAAAACAGTACATAAAACTTAAAAACACCCCCTGCCATAAAAATCCTTCACAGTACATAAAACTTAAAAACACCCCCTGCCATAAAAGCCTTCACAGTAGACCAGAAAACCACCATTGACTCCTAACTATCAACCTATCCCACTCTTAGCTAGATTGTCTGCCTCCCCATTGCATGCTCTTGGAATCAACCTCACTGAATGTACCTTACCAGAGATGAGAGTCGAAATCTGATAAACTATAGACGATAAGAAAACATGAGACAAACCCGGGGCCTGAATCCATTTCACTGCAGACTTACAATCACTCTCAACAATCAACCTACCAATAGATTCCCAGCGTGATGACAACAATATTTCAATGCCTCTTTTAATAGCCTTCAACTCAACAAGTGGAGGAGTTCCTTGACCAACATTCTCTGAAAAAGTCAAGAGGGTGCAACAATTCCAATCTCTTAAAATACCTCCAATCCCACCACCCATGCCATCTCGCCTAACAGCACCATCAAAATTCATCTTAAGAGAATCTACTGGGGGGGGGCATCCATCGAATTACATGACATTCTTTGGGTTTTGATACAGAAAACCCATCTGCAAGACATGGATTACCAATCAGCACATCATCCTGTATCGATATCTTAGGGAACTTGGCTAGGAACCATTTAGAGAGCCTGAATCTGACAATGAAGAACAAAGACAACCTGTCAAGAGAAGATCCTTCAAAAACCATTGCATTCCTAACTTTCCAAATCGACCAAAAAATGACTCCCAGAATGAACTTCCAAATCACCGAGTTCTCCCTCAACTCACCCCAAGAGCACAAAAGAGAAGGAGGGTCTTTGGGTATAACGAATGATAAGTCCCAGAAACTAGCTATTTTAATCCATAATTCCCAAACAACGTGACAAGAAATGAATAAATGTTGCACTGATTCCTCCTGTTTCTTACAAAAGGGACACAGAATATCATCCCCTAGAGATAATCCTCTCTTAACCAACTCAGATTTAACTGCCATTTTCTGATGAGCAAGCTGCCACAGGAAAGCTTCCACTCTAGGTGGAGCAAATCCCATCCAAACCCCTTTACACCACGACACACTGCCCCCAAACACATTACCAAAAGTATTTCTGCAATATTTAACTGAAAACAGTCCATCCCCACTTGCAGACCAAGATAGGAAATCTTCCACCACCTCTGACAGTTGAATATCCTTCAGCTTAAACATCAAATCCATCCACTGATTCAATTCCCAATCACACAAATTCCTTCTTGTTTCAACATTCCACACCCAACCACTCGGTTCCAAGCTACCAAAATCTACCACCTTCTCCCCTTTAAAAGGGGAAAGCACGAAAATTCTAGGAAACAAAATTTTTAGAGGAACATCATCTGCCCATACATCATTCCAAAAAGAAATAGATTTTCCATTTCCCACTTGCAACTTCACATTTGATCTAAAACAAACCCCTTCCGAATCATTCTTCAAAAAATTATTTGCAATCCCTCTCCAAATCCAAGAAGATTGAGGAGAAGTAACCTCCCTAATAGACATTGTATTGCAACTAACCTTGTGTTTGCTACACAACACACCTTTCCATAGGGAATTTTTATCATTGGCAAATTTCCACACCCACTTACCCAGTAGAGCCCGATTAGTGAGGTTCAAATCTAGTACACCTAGACCACCACAGTTCAATGGCTTACAAACCGTACTCCAATTCACCCAGTGAATCTTCCTCTTTTCCTCCTTATCGCCCCATAGAAAATTAGCTAATAAGGAATTTAACTTCTTGCCAATTTTGCAAGGCATTTTAAACAACGATAAGAAAAAAATTGGTAAGGACGTTAATACCGATTTCAATAATATTGTCCTTCCAGCCAAGGACAAACAGGAAGCTTTCCACCCAGCAAGTTTGGAGCTGAAATTCTTAAAAACAGGATCCCATAAAGCCTCTGAATTTTTCTTAGCACCCAGGGGAAGACCCAAATAGTCTGTTGGAAAAGTACCAACTGTACAGCCCATTTGTACTGCCCAATCTGTTAATACATCATGCTCCATATTAACTCCAAACAGCTTACTCTTCACCAAATTTAGATGCAAACATGCCATAATAATAAAAATCCTCAACACCATTTTAACATTCTTGATCTGAGTTAGAGAGGCTTGACAAAAAATGATTAAATCATCGGCGAACTGCAAATGAGACAACCTAGCAGAATTTTCAGACTTCCCAATAACAAAACCTTCGAACAAACCCCTGTCGACTACTTTAGAAAGCATCAAGTGGAGCATCTCACCTACTATGTTAAACAGGAGTGGAGAGAGACTACAGCCTTGTCTTAAACCTTTGGCCATAAGAAACTCTTCCGAAGGAGACCCATTAACGAGTATCGATATGGAGGCTGTTGAAAGGCACTGAGAAATCCACAAGGACCATCTATTCCCAAAACCCATCTCTGCCATTGCTCTAAATAAAATTGGCCATTCCACAGAATTGTAAGCTCTACGAAAATCAAGCTTTAGAACAACCCCTTGCAACCCTTGTTTTCTCCAATAATCTATCCCTTCATTCGCAATAAAAGCACAATCCAATAGTTGTCTCCCCGGTACAAAAGCAATCTGGGACTGACTGATTATATCCCCAACACAACAACTCAATCTCTTAGATAAAACTTTAGAGAGGATCTTGTATAGACTGCCTACAAGGCTAATAGGTCTAAAGTCCTCCACACTGTCCGGATTAATCTTCTTCGGAATAAGTGTGATAAACGCATGATTCACCCCATGTTCCCATTTCCTGCCCAAGTAAAAATCCTGAAAAAACTTCATAACATGCTCCTTTAAACTAGGCCAACACTTCTTGAAAAAACCCATGGTGAAGCCATCCGGACCTGGTGCTTTAGAACTATCCGATATGGCTATCGCTTGCCATACTTCCTGTTCTAAGAACTGCTCCTCTAGTTTCTTAGACTGGTCCCCTGTCAGCTTTGCAAAATCCAGAGATAAATCTTCTACTTCCATCGTTGACTTGCAATTGTAGGCTCTCTTAAAATACTCCGCAATATGCAACTTGATCATTTTCGGATCTGAGACCACATAGCCATTAAAGTTCAAACTTGTGATTTCATTTCTTTTACTTCTGTTAATTGCAGACAAATGAAAAAATTTTGTATTTCTGTCCCCATCCTTAATCCATCTCGCCCTTGATTTTTGAAACCATATGCTTTCTTCAATCCTACAAAGATTCGATTTTAACTGCATCAACTGATCCCACTCCTGTTGAGAAAGAACACCGCTTTGTGCCTTAAATTCAATATCATTGATTTTCAATTCCAACTCTGAAAGAGTCAGAAATCCCATAGAACTTTCTGTCTGACCAGTTTATGATTGACTTCTTTGTTTCTTGTAAAAAACTGAAGATACCCCTTCTCTTCTTACCCTTCCTCAAATTATCTAAGGACGATTTAACGACATCCTCAAATCCTTCCTCCTCTAAGAGATAATTAAAAAATCTGAACGGTTTAGGGCCCCAATCAACAGATTTTTCCTCCAATAATACAGGGTTGTATAAGATAAGGACCTCGGTAATAGTTTGCACAATATTTGGAAAACACAACAGAAAACTCCTAGAAATTAAGAACCTATCAAGTCTGACCCATGTAGAAGTTTCTCTGTTATTACACCAAGTAAACCTTCCCCCTACCATTGGGAGATCAATTAAGTTCGTTTGATTCAGAAAATTTCTTAGGATGTCAATGGATAGCCAGTTTTGAGACTTTCCCAACTTCTCAGCCGGATCAAGATACACATTTAAATCACCCCCAATGCAGCTGCCACAGTTTGAGCAGCAACAAAATCCAACAGCTCCTGAAAAATTCCTCTTCAAAATCAATGGAAGGACCATAAACATTAATAATCACACACTCTTCACTTGCATTCTTAAACTTCCCAAAAACTACTATAAATCTGCCACTTAAGTGGCTATTGGAAACTTCGAAATCCTTATCATTCCACAAAACCAAAAGTCCACCTGCAGATCCCACTGCTGGAACGGAAGTACCTCCATTAAGAAACCTTCTCCGAACCTTCTCCTAAGAGCCTGAGAACAAATTTCTAGCTTTGTTTCTTGAATGAGAAGAATGCACGGCTTGTGCTTCTTGACCAAATTTGCAATTGCTCTTGATTTTTCTTTTTTACCCATACCCCTGACATGCCATGAAATGATCTTAATCTTCATCATAAAAACAGGTATAAAACCAAAGCCTCAAATCCAATAAGTAGACTGAAACCTATTCCCCCAGTTCTATCTCTTCCCTATTTTTAACCAAGTCCTCCTCAAGGTTAATATTTTTTTCCAAAAATACCTTCTTCCCCTCTTTGAATGAAATCCCTAGAATTTTACTAACTTCCCATGTAGCCAAAGCCTCCTCCAAAAATATCGGGAAATTTGAAGAAGTCATAGTAGGAATACTAGCCACATCCAGAGCTTCCCTAGTCAATAGCCTTCTCCTTCTTCTATTCTCCTTCCTTGCCACTGGGCCACACTGACTCCCTGTACCAACCTCTTCTACACTCGAGACTGCTGCAAATTGTCTACTGCAGACTTGTTACTTGTACCACCTTCCACCTCAGCCCAGTGGGTCTTCCCTCCAAAATATTGGGAAGAGATTGGTTACTTGAAATAGGCTGAATGATATTCTTGTTAAGGTCCATCAACTCCAAAGATTGCACTGCCCCATCTTCTCTGTTCGGGTTAAACCAGACCTTTCTTTCTCTAGATCTTCTATACACTCTAGAAATAGGACCACTACTCCACCTTCCAATCGATGCATTTCTAATATACATACTTCTAGACAAATGATCCAAAGGACTCCAGCTCCTTAAACCATTTACAAAAGACTCCTTATGGTTACTACCCGTGTGTATTGACCTTCCTTCCCTTACCACCTTTCCTTCCTCCGCACTACTGACTTCTTTAACCAGAACTTCTACTTCCTCTAACATATCTTTATTTGACTTTTCTGGATTACCTCTCGACTGAGACTATAATTTGTCCATGGCCCCACCAGGTATCGAAATTGAATTGTGATCAGATGAAACAGTAACCAAATTCTACACAATTGGTTCAACCAAACCAGATTGTTGTTGCTCTCCTAATGCCTCCACCCGAGACTCTTTATGTTTACCATAGCCCAATTTATTTAGGTCAATATAGTTTGTGCTTAATTTTCCTTTATGATGAAGTAATAAGAAAGAGGGCCCTTCGTCTTTATGCACCCTTAGGGAACATTTGGTTCAAGGTTTGTAAGATTAACAGTTCTGATGAGGAAAACTACCTTGAACTAGTAATATGATATTATCAACATAAATTTTTTTCCTATATTTTCAAAGTTAACCTTCACTGTCAGCATAGTGTAATTACTTTTTTCATCCTTATTTATGTTTACAGACAATTTAGTTGAATTAAGAGCTAGTCTGCTAGACAGTATCCACTCATTAACTTCCAGCAAACATTTAAAAGTAGATACTTTACATATCGACATTTTTTTAAAAAACAAGGTTACATGCATAAATAAGCATGTTTAGGTAATATGACCTCAATAAAATATGAAACCTGGTATGAGATTTATAATAGAGAAGAATATTTTCTATTAGCAAGAAATTAACACAGCAAAACAATTTTACACCATTAGCAAGTAATTCAAGGAAAACAAAAGTTTTCAAATGTACCTTCCCGGTTGTTGCATCTACCACAGTGGAAACTTGAAGTCGAGGGCGGGCAATGGCTCTAAGGTAGTCACATTCCTACAGAGTACAAAACAGTAGAATATAAAGCTCTTCTGCATTGAATTAAACATGAAAGCATTTCCAAACTGCTAAACTTAGGCCAATGTGGTTGTTTTAGAATATTTTCAGCATCATTAAGTGGCTGATGGATGAAGGGTGGCAGAGCACATATATTCAAAAGGAGCTAACCCTCTAGCCTTGGGAACAGAAAGTTTTACTTCCCTTGGAAAATTTCTTTTACGGCCTCAAAATATGTTTCCACCTAACACTCAATCATTATGAGTTTATTCTTTTCTTTTTCTTGCTACATAACTAAATATATGTAACTATTTAAGTGTCAAAACATCATCTTTCACTTCTACCATATTGTAGAGAGAGAACTTTTAAAAGAGAATTTTCAGCAGAATTGCTCTTACCATTGTGTGATACAATCCACCATCTCATAAGGAATCCTAGGTTTACAGCTTATGAATATTTTCTTCTTCAATTATTTAATTGTCCACAATTTCTTAAAAATTTAAATCTTAAAGCAGCCAAAATTCCTTAATCACATAGATGTCATTCTATATCAGCTAGTCATTACATGTATCAGATTCACAAAGTGATAATTTCTAGTATTACAATGAGCTCTCAATCATTGATGGCGTACATACCTCGTTGCTGAGGAAACTATGGAGTACAATAATCCGAGGTGCCCAGCTAATTATTTCAGGTTTGACCTACATCATCAGAAACAATACCGAGTCAAAAAATTTGTTTTCCTTATGAAATCTCTGGACCAATTTTACACAAGTAGAAAACCATTTACCAAATCCGAATAAAGAATAAATAATTCATTTCCAATTATGGTTAGGTCCATACTCTGCCTGCCTCTAATGTGCATAGAAAGGCTCTCCTTTTTCTCTCCTTTATATCACAATTTGCTCAATATACTCCATGTTAAATTATGAAAGAGCCACTCGAGACGCTATTATATAAACAGTGAGACTTCCCCATCTCCTTTCCCCCATCAATCCCCTCCAAGTTCTGGTATATTAATTTATCAAATATAATTTTGCAGCAAATAAAACTCCAGTTATAAGATAGGCAACTAGAATGTGTAATTGTCTATGATAAAGCGGTGCAAGTCTTAAGTATGATCTATGTTCTGCAAATGGCTTAGAGCTGCAGAGCATAAAAGTTTTGTTGAGATTGAGCTTAGGCTGGAACACCAAGTCCATGGGGCTTCGGCTTGTATGAGAGGGCTTATTAGAGGATAGATTAAAACATATTCCTTTCCTAAAATTGGGGAAAGGAACTTAACAAACATTAATCTTGATTTTTTAATAGCATTAATGAATATAGAAGATAAGCTACTGTTAGATTAAGAAAAATGAAGAAAATAAAACAAAGATTATTACATGCAAACTTAGAATATTTTAAAACAGGACAATGTAAAGTCCATTGCACTAGTCGTTAAGGGAAATATTCCAATATAAACTTTCTATATTCCTTTTTCCCTGGAAAATTTTAAAAGATTATTTTATCATAAAATTCAGGCTCATGGCTATCCCTGAACTTCAAAAATGAAAGGGGAAAAAAGAGGGAAAAAGTACAAGAAACATACAAATCCAAGACGCAAAATTTCTGCTTCTTTGTCACCGTGCCAATGATTCATACCTGAAAGTAAAAAACATGCGAAGAGACAAAATACACAATGACCTTGCAGTAAAAATTACATCTTGGCTAAAATCAGATATTCTTTAACCAAAGTTCAATTATTTAAACAAATTTCAAATTTTCAATTTCTTTATTGTTCCAAAACCAATAAGAACCATACCAACCTCTTGGCAACTTAAGATATCCATCACTCTGACTTCTATGCAATTTTGTAGATGGAAATTCATCACCTATTAAATATGTGAGATAAATTTTCAAAAGAAATTGTCATTGAACATTTTCCAAAGGTTATTGTAAGTAACTGTACATAAATACTTCAATAATGCATAAACAACTGTTAAAAGAAAGGGTAAAATACATAAATGGTCCCTTGACTATAGGATATTGCTTTGTTAAGTCTCCGAACTATTAAAAGTTACAAAATGGCCCCTCGACTATAGGGAGTTGCTTTGTTGAGTCTCTCGACTATTAAAAGTTAGAAAATGATCACCCAAGTATTCATTATGTTCCAAACTCAGCCTTTTCCGTTAAAACATTAACGGCAATCTGAGTTGGACGTTAACATGTTGACTAAGATATGATAAAATCTGATCTCATAATCTCAAACGACTATCATATCTCAGTCAGCATGTTAACGTTCAGCTCAGACGATCGTTAATTTTTTAATGAAAAAGACGAATTTGGAACATAATGAATAGTCGAATGACCATTTTGTAACTTTTAATAGTCGGAGACTCAACAAAGCAATATCCTATAATCAGGGACCATTTGTGTACTTTACCCTAAAAATAAAAGCTTCATAATTTGCAAGTATAAGTTCTCCCAATTCCAGAATATCTCATATCTTTTCAAGATGGCATTTTGCGAGGATGAGTTCTCCATGTTCATGAAGATTTCATATCTTTTAAATACCAAGCAAAAGCAAATCTTAGAATTTCTAAGTTAAGCATACAAGGAAGAAAATTTGATTTTTGATGACATCAGGCATTTTAGGTGGTAAAGGAAAGTTAAAACAACTTAAATCCCAAACTAAGATTGTTGAAGAGGTCAGCTCTACTCATTAAACCTATAAGGAAATATATGAAATCTAAAATTATTTATGTTGAACATTTCATAGATATAAAGAAAGCATAACATTGACACTTCATTTTCCTCAAATCCAGATTCTTGCATAATAACAAAGAGGAGAATCAAGTAATTAGAGAAACCAACATACAGAAGGTGAATAATGCTAAAAGATAAAATGATGAGAAGTATACCGTAAGAATCTTCTAATCCGCGTATGAATGCTAGCTGAAACAAAGCCCCTGCATTTCCCAATATCATTAACGCTTGAAATAACAACGAATCTATGCATCCAAACAATTGAAAAATTCAATCCATGCCAAGAAAAACAGCCAAGAAAAACAAAACCCCATTTACATCTATCGAATCAACTAAATCTCCCTTGTGTAATGCATATTTCAAGGAAGAAAAGAAAACCCATTATTTTAAAACAATAAAAAAAAGGGGAAAGTAGCCAACATCGATGAAGCATAAAAGAACAAGAAACACCCACCAAGGTATTCGAAGTCGAATGAAAAGACATACCGATTATCATTCCAACAGTTACAAACGTTAATAATCCGAAAACAATCTTCATCGCAGGGGCCATGGCCTACGGGAGTTGGCGTCCCCTAAACTATGTTAGCTTTACTTCGATTTGAGTAGAAAGCAAATTAAGAGGGGGGGAACCCCGACAAGAACAATTCGCTTTCAACTCCCCTTGTATTTTTCTTCCTCCCTGTCGTCTGTGTGATCTTCAATTTTGAATTACTTGGTTTCTGCTTGGATCTACGTTCCTCCACTTTCACCTTGCTAGTTTATATGTTGCCGTACTGTCTAATTTCTCTATCCTATTCTTTTTCTGGATGTAATAGTAACTATACAAAATAAAATAATTATTCAAACAAAAAAATTAATATTATATTTTATATACTTTAATAAAAAGAAGCCGATGGCTATAAATGAGTCGAGTTCGAGTATTGCTAAGTTCGACTCAATTTGAAAAGTATAAATTTGAGCTCGACTCAACTCAAAAAATCCTAGCTTAAAATTGTCAAATTCGACTCGAAATTGAAATAAAAAATTAAAGTTCGACTAGAAAGCTCGTAAGTTTAAAATTTTTAAGTTCACCTCGAGTCAAAATATTCTCAAGCTTAGCTCAATTGAAATTCAAACTAAAGCTCGAATCTGAACGATAGGTACATGAAAGTGTTATGTTATATTTTAAAAAATAGCACAGGTAAATGTTAATATTATTAATAATTTAATTAAAAAACTAAAATTTTAATTTTTTTCAAGTTGCTCGTGAACTTTTTGAGTTGAATTTGAACTCAAGTCGAGTCCATTTGATTCGACAACCAATCAAACTTTAACCAATCCAATTTTGAATAGTTCGTGATATATTTTATCTCATTTACAGTATTAGTTGTTATACACTTACAATTGTTCAGCTTCAACCAAAATTATTGGCAATAAAGTCGATGTGCTGTTCTTAGATTCTTGAGATGTTAAAGTGGTCGACGTTTTCAGAGTAAGAAGTAGATAATGTGTTGGCTTTGTTAGTGAGGAACAAATCCTTTACCCTCCATTTTTGTGAGGAATCACCTATAAAGGTTCTTACTCTTTTGCATGAGGATGTTGGGGGAGTGACATTGCTGCTAGTAGGATTGTAAATAAGACGAGATAGATCATGAATTATTCGAGATTGATTCAATTAAAGCTTGATAAATACTCAATTTGACCGTATTCGATTCGCCTCGAGTTCTTAGCGAGTCGAAACGAGCTACTTGATACTCGACTTAAAAAGCTCACAAGCAACTTGATAAAATAATATATTAAGATTTTATTATTAAAAAAATTAAATTATTAATAATATTAATATTTATGTGTTTAATTAAAATATATATAGTATAAGGTTTTATGTATTTAAGGTTCAAGTTCGAGTTTGAGCTTCAATCAAGTTAACTTTAAGATTTTTTATTCGAGCTTCAATTAATGATTTCGAGTTCAAGCCGAGCATGAAAATTTAGGCTCACGAGTTTTCAATTCAAGTTGAACTCAGCAATGTCAACACACCTTTTCGTCCTACTAGGATTCAAACTCCTAAAAATAGGATAGAATTTTAGAATTCAAACTCCTAAAAATAGGATAAAGTTCTACTATGATTCAAACTCCCAAAGATAGGATCCATAAGCATTATAAATAGCCATTGTAACTCACTATTATAACACAAGAGATATACGAAATACCAAGCAAAAAATTACAAGCAACTCGTAGTCATTTTTCGAAGCATTTATATTTTGAAAGGTAAAGTTCATACTTTCGCATGTTATTTTTCCTTACCCTTGCTGTGCTTTGATTCGAAAGAAAATCGAGAGAAGTGTTTTTGGCCAATGAACGGGGGCGTTTTCGAGATATATTTTTGTAGATCTAGCCCCCGAGGCTTGTATTTTTTTGAAAAACTATTAGGATTTTTATAAACGGGTCGTGTGGATCCGTGTGTTTTGCCTCTACAGTGGGTTAATGCCCATTTCGATCCCCCTGATTTTAAATACACGCAGATTCGTTTTTTCTTCAATTGACTTTTAATTTCGACCCCTAATTCATTTTTTGTTTTAATTTAACCCTTATTATTTATATGTATATATATATATATAATTATATTTTATTTATTTATTATAATTCTCTTTTTTTCATTTTTTTGCGTTATATTATATTATTTTCCTATTATATATACATATATATATATATTATATTATTATTTTTTATCTATGTTTACTTATTTACTATTTTTTTACTATATTTTCCTAATGTTATATATATATATATTCTTACTTCATTTTATTTTATATTTCTATGATTACTATTTTTTTAGTTAATATTATATGTATATTTATTTTTCATTTATTTATTATTATTACTATTTAGTATTTTATTATATTATACATACATTTTTATATTTATATATATTTTATTATTTTATTTATACTATTTATTTATTTTCATTATATTTTTAGTTTCTTTGCTCTTATTATTATATTTCTTTTTTAAAAAAACACTTTACCTTTTTTATTCTTTTTGTATATATATTTTATCTTCATTTATTTTATTTTATTCAATTTCATTTTATTTTTTTTGTTTCATCCAATTATTTTATGTTTATTATTATTGGTTTCATTTATTTCCTTGGTTTACTCTTTAGTTTTGTTACTTTCTTTTATTATTATTATTTTCTTTTAACATCTTATTTTTAAGGGTATTTCCGTAAACTCATTAAGGGTAAGTAATTCGGATCAAATTTTACCTTTTAATTTAACTTGTAATTTTCTTAATCAAAGACAACTGGAAATTACGTAGTACCGAAAGGGCGGTTCAAGGGTGCTAATCCTTCCTTGACCGTAACCGACTCCCGAACCCGACACATCTTTGGAAAGACGCAGATCAGGTAAGAAATAAGGTATCTGATCAACCCATTTGTTTTAAATAAATGATCGGTGGTGACTCCAAACCATATTTTTCAAGTCGAAGCCCAATTCCAGGGCCCAACCGAAAGACGGTTGTGACAGCTTGGCGACTCCGCTAGGGACAGGTAAGTGAGTCAGGCCGAAATTAATTTCTGGTTGTCTTTTTTAGCAAAAATTACAAGTTTAAATTTTAATTTATTTATTCGATTCTAATTATTTATCTTTGATTATTTTTCAAATAAATAGTTGTACTGACGTTTTTTAATGATTTCGGATTTTCAACTTTTTTCCGTCTAAGGCTCTATACCCGAGCTCCGAACCCTATTTAAGTGGGGGTAAAAGCGACGTCTTCGTGTGAATTTATTCACCGTGCGGGCCTAGCAAGTAGCCTTCGAGATTCATATACCTTATGTCTTCGTGTGAATTTATTCACCGTGCGGGCATAAGAGAATGTGTCCTCTCGAGTTTAACTTAGTCCACACAAGCCTGTGATGGGTTTAGGACTAAGGGTCTGGTAAGCCCAAGGGGGCACCGGCAAGGAGAACTCGGGTACCATTTTTAGAACCTAAACCGTGAGGCTATGGAGAATTAGAGCCCACCCCAAAACCTCATTCCAAACCTAGGCTGTTTTGTTTCATGCTTTACTTTATGTTCAAAACAAGCGAACTAGACAAATATGCGGCTAGGATTTGTGTGGAATTAGCATGCGGGATAGAGATCATGTCCGGGTAGGAATTAAAGCATGTGGGGTAGGATTTTTCATTTTATTATTTTGATTTACCTTACTCACTCTTTTCATTTCTTCTCTTTTATTTTATTTACATCATATGCATCATTTAAAAGAGGTGTTGATCCACCAAAAACGTGTTTGATAAACATGAATAATCTGCATTAATGGACAAAGGGGTTGTAATACAAGATATGAAAATACATAGGACAGTCTACAAGGCGACTATGTGTCACATTCAATCCAGAAGATGTGGTACCCTCAATCAAAGAATATGTCACTTTGCTACATTGTAAAGGACTCCGAATGGACCGGAATTTACACCGAGCACACTAAAGTCAAATTTTTGAGAGGCAAAGGTTGCAGGGGCAAGACGAGGAAAAAGTTACTGACCCGGAGATTCCTTTCGAAAACTATGAGAACAAGATGAATTCCAGAAACAAGTCGATAAGCTTCGGATTGAGGGCTTCAATGATACTTTCGTTAGAAACAAGCTCGACAGAGAGTGAAAGTCGGAGATGCAGTCATTCGATACCTTTTTTTGGGGCAAACAGCTTGTCACTTGCACATTTTGGCCAAAGGAGCTTGAACGGTTCGATAGGGTATTCAACTGATGACAGACGAAGGCAGAAGACTAGTCAACATGTCAGAAGCTGTCAGGATATTTTTGTCTCTTAAAAGATAAAACACTTTTGTCCCCAATAAGGATTATTCATAATAACAGACATGTTTTCGGATCAATGCCTCGAACATCTCATGCATTTTTTTGCATTTTGCATCTACATTTCATTTTTAAGCATTTTCATAAACATTAAATTTCTTCATAGAGGATTCGATGAAGTGGTTTTAACCACATGACACCATGTGGAAGCAAGATTTTAACAATTAAAAGAAAATTTGAAATCAATACAGTATTAGCTTGATCAGCTGGTTGTATGACTAAGCCTGCCAGGATGATCTAAGAAAAGAGTCCACATATCTTAAGGGCTACGATGTTGAAGCTGTTTGCAGTTGCCACATAGGATGCTCCAAACATTCCTCTGAGAACTATAAGGCACTGAAGCGCAAGATCCAAAACATGATGGATTAGGGGCATGGCATATACCATTTGCACTTAGAGGATTGTTTTGTTTGAACACATCTATGATCTTTCATGTTTGCTTAATCTGTTAAACGATTGAATTTATGCTACTTTCTAAGGTGGAGCAATTGAACAAATTTTAATCTTTAGTTCTTCGAATATTAAATGAATTAAGGATTCTTTTAATTCTTCAAGAATTATAGGTTTTTTGGCAAGATTAGACCTTTCTTACCCTGTCTCAAACCCCATAATAAAATACCTTGATTCTTTGCCCAAAACAACTCTTGGTCATTACCAACAGACAAAATTTTGACATTACCTCCTTTTGAAATTCTTGAACATTGCCTTTATCTTTTTGATACACCCATACCTTTCTTTGAGTCAATAAGATCACACCACTGTCTTTTTTAGACTCAAAAATAGCCTTTTTTACCATTAAAACTCAAGGCATTAGTTGTTCATTTGAACATGAGCACTCTTCTAAGACACAATTTGGAGCATCTCGCCGGGAGCCTGAACA